TATATTGACTGAAGAATTAGGCATGCGTAAGTTAACCGCGCGTTGGGTGCCGCACTTGCTCACTCTGGATCAAAAACGCATTCGAATGAACATTTCTAAGGCCCTGGGGGGCTATTCCGTTCCCGCGTACCGACTATCGTCGGCGTCGTTAATGGTGTCGGCCGACAACATACGAAAAAAGCTATTCTGTACCGCTGTTAACGACAAATTTATAACGATACATATAGTTTCAAAGCAACAGTCATCGTTATGTCTAACGTGACCCCTCATATGTGACGAAAACGTTGACCGACAAGTATACCGACAAAGTTTCAAGAATTATTAAATCAATTTTATGTAAACTAGAGATTCGATGTGGGAGAGGGAACGCATACCTTTCATTTTACAGGTAAGATTTGTTAAAATATTTAATTATTATTCGTCAATTAGATTATATGTGCGAAAATTATATTTTGTTGTTAGAAAAAACATGAGGTAATTATTTACACGCCCTTCACTTCCGATTTCGATGAAATTAGGCTTATTCGACGCGTTTTTGCACAAAACGAAAGAATCTAAGAAAAAACGATGGGACGGCCCCGCGAACCGAGATATATAATTATATATATAATTATTAACAATTACTCATTCACAATTATATTCTCTGCTGTACAAACAAATTCTCTGTTTTACAAATACAAATTTGTATTTTTAAAGCAGAGAATTGTATATTCTGAAGAATTTGTGACCAAAATGTTCGTACATGTCGTTGCATCTCGTCGATATGACGAATTTCCTAACCTCTATAGCCGTCAACTTTAATATCTGGGAGTCGCGCTTTAGACGTCGTGGCGTACGGACGTGTGGAGTGTCCCGTTCCTTATCTTAGCCTATTGGTGATAGATATTTCTTTTTGTTTCGATTAGGAACAATTGTAGTGTAGTGTTCTTTTTATAGTAGGAGGATATATAGGACGGTTTATTTTTTGTAATATAGTTGTAGGCTCCCCGCTCGGAGGGAAAGCAATGTAGTTGAAGTGTTGATTTAGTTAATGTCAGATTTAGCGGATAAGAAAAAGAGAAGTGTTAGTTTGAATGAAAGGGATTTCGATGAATTGTCTAAAAGACTGGTGGAAGCAGAGAAGTTGGGGATAGGAAAGGAAAAAAAGATAAAGGTAAAATTATAGGAACACCTAAAGGCTGGAATTAAAAGATTATATACGTCACGCATTCCGCGGATGATCGGTGAGCCAAGTAGCAGTGAAAAACAAGTTGAAAAAGGCATAATACAATGTGATAATATTAGGTCAAATCGAGGTCAGATTGAAAGTTTAAATAACGAAAACATTGAGATGGAAGGTATTGAAGTAACAGTGCCATCTGGTTTAAACGCCGGTGGGTGCGTTTCTATGCCACGAGATAAGGAAGAGAATGATATTAGCGACCATTCGTATAGAGAAGCATTTGGTGTGCGAGAAGGTAAATTGATCAAGATGTCGGTAATGTCGCAGCAAGACTATCAGGATTTCGAGAAGAATAGATACGCGGAGGATCACGTAGGTAAAGCTAACCTTATTGTTAAGCTTCCAACAGAGTCAACAACGACGAAAAAGGGTAAAAACTCTATTAAGGAAGTAGTCGAGTAAATCGAAAATTTTACGAAAATTTAAAAAAAATTAGCATATGTTGATCGTATGCATAACAACCGTTCCTTAAAATTTCAGATGTAGCCACAGGATAAGCGAAATATTTCGTTTCAAATATTTCGTTCACGAATTTAACATGTAAGTCCTATTCCATGCCGTCATGAAACGCACATTAAATTTGATATGAAAGGGATCGGAATTTACGAACTTTTTAAAAAACTGATATGTTGTATATAATAATGTTAGCAATGATATAAACAAAATTGGTGACTCGTAGCCATATACTTTTTTAATAAAAGCGATATGAAAATAATGATATTCGTCAGAAGAGAAGGGGTTGCGTACATGTGGCAACGTCGCTCATCGATTCAACCGAACGGAATCTCCCACATGACATATTATGACACATCATATATAACCAAAACAAATGTTTTTCTGAATTATGCGGATAAAATATTGTAAAAAAATTGGAATATATATATATATATGAATTATAAGTTACAGTGATAGGTGTGTTTTGGGAAACAGGACGTTGCCACATCTTTGTCAACACGAATGATACAGGACAATGAGTGTGTGCGTGAAGCGATCTCATTGGTCAATGCTGTATCATTGCATCAAAAAGTTTAGCCGTTTGTACACGAATTAACTTTTGGAAGTGACTGTCACTCGACTACCTCCTTAAGATCTGGATGATTTTGATGGAGAATAAGATATTTCCTGTTACGCTTATGATAGTGAATCATTATTCTGCGGAAGTAGAATTCGCGAATGGTGGAGATGCTAACCAGTGTTTGGATAAGTTATCGAAAGAGACTAATAAGTTGATTGTTACGGTGGATCAACGGGGTATATATTCTAAAGGTGTTATTTCGGATTGGCCTTCATCGATTCCGGATTTATGGCAAGCTATGGTAAATAAAGAAAGTGTCATTAAATTAAAACGTATGTACAGACGAAAATGGGACGAAAAATCAAAGAAGTCAATTAATGTAAAGACTGACAACATTGTGATAACCATGAAAGGTGAGAATTTGGGTTTATGGACACTTCACCTTCTACCATTTCATCGTTCAACATTTCATCGTCGTCACTTGTTCGTAAGACATTTTACCGTCTAGTACATTTCTTCGTCCACGACACTTTACCGTCTACTGTTTATGTTTCGAAACATGTTTTTTGCTTACATTCTTTTACGCGTCGTAAGGACATTTGTCCGTCCGCGACACTTCTTCGTCCGCTATATATAACGTTATAGATATACGTTTCGATTTAGTCGTTTGCTACACTCTTCTAGCATACAATGCTAAACGCTTAACATTTTTCACTTAAAAATCTCTTTTCTTTTATAAAAACAAAATGCCGCTTAATTTTGTGAAAAGCACAAAGAATAAAAATCTTCTTGTCTATTCTGGTTATATATTTGTAAAAGATTACAAAAAGAAGGAAAAGATATATTGGAAATGCGTGAAATACAGTACCGATAAGTGTCGTGGGAGAGTACATACTTATCTCGAAGAAGTGGTATATCATAAGGACGAACATAATCATGTTCCT